CCTGGCCCTGGCGCGAGCTGGCAGCCCAGCACAGGCACCGAGCTGGCAACCTAGCACAGGCACGACCTGGCGGCCTGGCACAGGCACCGACCTGGCGGCCTGGCACAGGCACCGACCTGGCGGCCTGGCACAGGCACCGACCTAGCGGCCTGGCACAGGCACTGACCTGGCGGCCTAGCATAGGCACCGACCTGGCAGCCTGGCCCAGGCGTGACCTGGCGACCTGGCACATGCACCGACCTGACAACTTGTAAGACGTGCTCACCAACAAATTCGGCATGCATATCCTAACACTCCCGCGATCCTTGGAAGTTGGCTCACGTGCCGAACAATCTGGAGGGTGGTCAACGTGCATGGCGGTTACCTCCAGGAATCTCGAACCACTTAGACGACCTTGCAGAAATCTCGGATATGGTGCGTGAAGCCCACGTCAAACAATGCTTATATAAAGGCACCAACCCCAGAGGCAAGGAGGCAAGCAAGTAAGAAAATTCTATCTCTCATACTGTGTGATTTTTTGCTCGCAGTGTAGTATGAGAGTACTGACTTAAGCATCGGAACGACCTCGCCGGGTTAGACACCCTGGATCCTCTGACATTTGGTTCCTTGCAGGTCTCTAAAGAGCAACGAAGCTCATCAATCTAGCTCGCCAACTAGTATTCTTAATTTATGGGTTGCTTAAAGGAAAAGTCTCCTCTTCAAAAATGCACAACAAGGATGATGTAGGTGTTGAAGCAAGAAACAGGGGGGGCTGCATTGGATGGGTGAACCAGATATAGATGAGAAAGCTACACAGCTCATTACAAAGTTGTACACAACCCACATCTCAGATCTCGAACGGCAAATTGTTAAAGTTTGATGGATTGATTCAGCAATCGAAGATGAAAAATTAAAAGAAGAGGAAGAAATTGACAAAGAAATAATATGAAAAAAAAACGGAAAGGAAAAGAGGATAAAGAGGTTCCTCCTTGAATGGATGGAGTTTGGATGAGAGATTGCGTCTTGTGTTCCTCCTCTTACCAGGTAAATTGGGATAGGAAAAGAGGGTGAAGAGGTCGACAGGGGGGAAGGAGAAGAGGATAACATGTCGATAGGAGTATTTCAGTAAAAACAGATGCAAACTTACAGGAAAAGTTGATTCACCGGTTTAACATTTTCCGTCTTAATTATTGACCGAAAGGAGATATTTGCTAAAGCAAAATTACAGGAAAAGTTTTTATGATTGCCAAAAACTTTAGGGAGCTTTTTGTATTTTACCTCTTTTTTACTTTGGCGTTCAGGGTTGGGATCATGAAGTGTATTGAGAACTGGCCCTTTAGTCTGTATGCATATGGATGATATTCTATCCCATTGTTTTGTTGATTGAAGTGAGGAAAGTAATTTACAGTACTATTAGAACACGGGAATAGGGAAACAAGGAATCCTTGCTTGCTTCCCAGTTGGATTTTAATTTTGTATCTTCATCAAAACCTATACGCACTACGTACCCACCAATGCCACCATCTTCTTTAGTCTTCACGCTTCCGCGTCTGATGCGATAATTTACTAGGATACTGATCATTCAACTTACGGCCTACTTCGTTACCTTACCCAAATCTAATTTAACGTGGAGTCCCGGAGGGCAATATTATTAAATGGGTTGAGCAAAGCCCAATCTGATAGATTGGTACAGTTCTATTGTTCGGCCATGAAACTATTGAAGTATATTGAGTTTTGTTTATGGGCCCTATGTCTCAGGCATTAGTGACCCAGCTGGCTTACATGAACGCCGCTGTACCTTGTGCTAGGCGCAGCCCGGCCCAGCTCAGCCCAGCCCATTATTACATTACCCTTCTTAAAGAGTTGCAGTCTTATTCTTCAAGGATGCTGGACTTGGACATTGGGATAATTGGATATTGAAGGATAATGTTAGCTAAAAATATGTCGAAGGGTGATCTGTTGTTTGACTTTGTTAGCGTGATGACATCCCATTGTATGTACATGTGGACAAATTTCTATCCATTTGCTTTAATTTGTTGACTATCAAGTCAAAATAATCAACATCAGATTAAAAAAACAAAAAAAATATGCTTACGAGGTCATTTTTCTCTGTCATCACCAGATTCGCCACTTCCCTCGTCTTATCATATCAACGTTGCAACCACACCATTTCACCAACCAAACACTTTAAAGAAAAAAAAAAAATTGAAAAAGCAAAAATGGACAGAGTCGGAACATGAAAGGTGCCGATTGATCGGTTTGTTCCCATTAATGATTAGGTTAGTTCTAATTTTTACTATTATTGAGTTAATAAGATATAAAGGTTTCCTAAAGTTTTTTATATTTTTTATTATATTTTATGTCTAAAAGGATACATTTTGACTTTTTTTTTTTTTCTTTCGTGAATACATTGGTTTTACAATTCTTATAGGGTAAAGTATAAAGTACAAAATATATAAAAAAAATGTTGGTTACAACTTCCATACATATATGTTAAGTAATCGGATTTTGGGATGAAATCAAAATTATCTGCAATTAGAGATGGCAATAGGGCGGGTTTGGAGTGGCTTTTGTAAATTTTAGACGTTATCTAATTCTCTAAATCTCCCAAATCATACATGCCCCAAAACTCATAGCAGGTTGGATAATGAGAATTGAAACCCTTCTCATGAAATTGCAAAACCTCCCTGACCCTACCCTTTTCACATTCAAGGGTAGGGTGGATTGGGTTTAAAACCTGCATTTGATTTCCTATTATTTCTTGTTATATATAAACAATAAATAGCACAAGTAAATAACAATGTTTTCAATTATTTCTTAAAACATGTAAAACCACATGAACTATCAATTATCTTTCACATAAAATTCCAAAATATTATTTAAATTCAACACTTAATACCGTAGCCTATTCGTACCTATATGGATTGTAGAATCCCAAAACCTATCCCTGCCCCAATACCCGTCCTTCAAGCAAAAAAACACCAATAGGTAGGAACAAGTGTATACCCATCAGATCTATACTACTTTAAAAAGTATGAATAACCTCAAGAATATTTTTGGAATTTTCAAATAACAAAATTTATCCTTCTATGTTTAAATATATTAATAACAAATGAGGGCAAATAAGGTAATCAAATTGATATTAAATGAGTGAAAAGAGGTAATTTTAAGACATTCAATGCATTCATTTCCTCCTCATTAAATCCAACACTTAAGGTATTAACTTGCACCCACCTTCATTGAATCATATACTTAAGTCATATTTGTTTCTTTTTATTATTAAATTTTATTAATTAAATTCATACATAATAAATTAATAATTCCAATAACATATAAACTTATACTTTTAAAATCTATTAGAAAAAAAATAGTGTTTTCATCTAAGTGATGGTAGAAAATTATACCCTTTGGGGTCAAATGGGCCAATCCATATTGCCACAGTTAAATAATAAAATTTAGAAATAGATAAAATGCAAAAATTGTAGAAATTAAAAAAAAATGGGAACATTTAGTTTGACATGTTAAACAATAATAAATATGATAAGTAATAAATAATAAATATGATAAATAATTGATTTTTAATTTAAAATTTCCATGTACAGTGCATGTGCTCATTTGGTACAAGCGTTTAAATTTATTTTTAATCATATTGTTCAAGTAATTAATATAAAAAAAAATCTCACATGCAATGCACGTGTTGAATTACTAGTAGGATAAAAATTTCCATCCCTATCTACAATTAATTCTTGTAGAATAAATGAGGTAAGGAGTGATGCTCCAATTCATTAAGATTCATTAAGTGGGGAGCGTAGAAAAAACATGATCACGATCTTCAATGAAGAAAGACCCAAAAGTCACATAGAAATTGGGGTTGGGTTTGTGAAATTGAAGGTTGGGTTGGGGGTTTAGAACTTAGGGTTGGCCTTAACCTGATCTAACCCGGTCCGACTTGCAGCCCTACCTAACCCTAACTAAATTCCTTCAACGCTAGCCCAACCCAACCTTCTTCCCATTCCTTATAAAACCTCATAAAATTTCTTGATTTTAGATCTTAACTCAACTTTCACTATATATATTAATCCTATGTTTCATTAGTATTTGTTGGTTGACGTTTTTTTTGTTATTTTGGTACAAAATTCAGAAAAATAAGTGCTAGAAATGACTATAGTTTATTATGAGTTATGACTTATGATAAATCTTTTATGAGACAAACAATAGAGAGGAGATGAAGAATAAAATTTTTAAAAAACATAAAATAATATTATTTAGGTTTTAGTCTTTCTGATTAGAATTAAGTGAAGTGATTATCTTAAAAGAAATATATGATACTATGTGGTGGGGGCTATACAAATATCATGCATCTAAACAAATCAATGCATGTTATATATTGCATATAACATATATTTATATATGACATGTACTATAGAGTCGGGTTTGGGTTGGGTTAGGTTGCCTAAGGAGTCCACCCTAACCCAAGCTGAAGTAAAGTTAGGTTCATGAATTTCAACCCTAACCCTAACCCGAACATCAACCCGACCCAACCCAATCCAACTTTTTTGGGTTGTGTTAGGTTGAATTCGGACAACCCAGCCCAAGTTGCAGCCTTAGGTACACTAGTACCACCTCACTCCATTAAAAGAAATAAAAATAAAACAATGTTAATTAATGTAACATAAATTTTAACAGCAATAATTTACAGTAATTTAGCAGAAAATTAAAAATATTAATGAAAACATTTAGGACTTATTTGGTTCGTGAGAATAAGGGCCTAAAATCAGAATCAGAATGGGTCATTCAGATAATGACGTTCCCATTTGAGAGAATGATATGAAAGAAATCCCCACTGCAACTGATTTTAATTCGGATTCTGATATTCCTGTATGAACCGAATAAACTATAAAAATAGACCATTCCATTCTTGGGCTCATTGTCACGTTGAGACATGTCAAGGTGCCCAACCATATACATGCTATATATCCAAAGGAGCAATATATAGAAATGAAATTTAAACAAGACATTATTTTATTCTGATGTACATAAAGAAGCTAGCAGAGGTACATCAAAGGATACAGGTGGCAAGGTAACGGTTTTAGAGAGAGAGAGAGAGCCATTTTGCATGGATAGGATAGGTCCTCTAAGGGTATTGGCCACGTCCACCACCATAGCCAGACCCATAACCAGAACCGTATCCAGAACCACTCCCATAGCCCGAACCATTTCCAGAACCTCCACCACCACCACCTCCTCCTCCCTGACCACTGCCATAGCCTCCATCTGCACCTCCGCCAACGCCATAGCCAGATCCACTACCACTTCCCGAACCATAGCCAGATCCACTACCATTTCCATTGCCATAGCCACCTCCACCACCACCTCCTCCACCCCTTCCATAACCACTTCCACCTGTAGCTCCTCCAACACCATATCCACTTCCACCTCCAGAACCATAACCAGAACCGTAACCACTACCATTTCCAGTTCCACGCCCAGAACCCCCACCTCCACCACCACCACCCCCTCTTCCAAATCCACCACCACCTGCAGCTACTCCAGATCCATAACCGGAGCCGCTTCCACTTCCGGATCCGTAGCCTGAACCACTACCTGATCCCAACCCATATCCAGAGCCACCTCCACCACCCCCACCCCCACCACTTCCATATCCTCTTCCTTGTGCTCCACCGTAGTCAGAACCACTCCCTGAACCGTAACCTGAGCCATAGCCGGAACCATATCCAGAGCCATTGCCCAAGCCTCCTCCCCCTCCCCCTCCGCTGCCTCCACCTCCTCCTCCTCCACTACCATAGGCTATAGACCTAGCAGCAGAGAGCTTGAGGCAGAGCAGAGCCAAGAATGCAACAGCAACAACTTTCGATCTAGCCATCTTGTATAAGATGCGAAAACGAAATAGAATAGCTTGTTAAAGCACTTCAACCTCAAACAATGAAGCTCAGAAATCTGAGAACGGTGCCTGGCCATTTGTAGTGAGTTGGTATTTATAGACAGAACGGGAAGGACTGATAGTGGAGCCTCCACCATTTCATTTCGCTTCAACACTAAGACTCCAATGGTGTCCCATTGTTTTCGACTTTTCAGTGTAGTGACAACTCGATTTACTGGGCAGTTTTCTATCCCTTTGTTTTGTTTTGTTGATCACTACGAGGTCAACAACCCCACAAGTAGAAAAAAAAAAAAGAATCACTAAACCAGTGATCCATGAAAGAAGAAAACGACACTTAGTGTGACGTTGTCTCCGCAAGATTCGCCATTTCCGTTGTTGCCTACTTCGTTCCCACGTCTCATGGGATTCACCAACCCCCACCGTCTTAGAATAGTGCTGGTTACACTACAGATGGCTTGGCCGTGTTGAAAGAGAAAGGTTCTGACTTCATCATATTATCTTATGGGATTTATTTAATTATGCAAGCAATACTCAGTCCGGTCAGACCTGGATTGATCCAGTGCTCTTTACTAGATGCATATTTTCTTCAGTCTAGTCCAGTTCAAGCCCTTTGCGGTTGATATGATTGTACCTTGAATTTATTATTCAATCCGTAAAGTCAAAATTTAAAGTCGAGAGGTTTGGGTGAAAACATAGGGTTTGGACCAAAGAGTATAGTTGGGGGTTTTCTCTTATATACATCTTTTTGGTTTGAGAGATAAGTCGAGATGCTTGGGTTATTTGGGGTTTAGAGCTTTTGTGAAAGATGTTGTGTAAAACTCTATAATCTCCATTTTGCTCCTCTGCCTGTGGATGTAGGTTATAAGTCGACTCATATAAATCTATATATTCTGTTTCTTCTTTCTCTTTATCTCTATATACTCTTGTTATCTTTTCCCCTGTCTATAGTTGAGTCCATGAAGTGTATGACAACTGGTTCTCTATGCATTTGGATGAAATTCTATCCGATTCTTTTGTTGACTAGACTCGAAAAATTTAATGTAGCCTACAGTATTGAAACGCAGAAATAGGGGAAGAAGGAGACATAACTTGCTTTCCATTTGGATTTTAATCCTTGATATTCAAAACCCATTACCCATCTTCATCTTCTTTAATCTTCACGTTTCCGCGTATGATGGGATTAACATGGGAACTGATCATTCAACTTATGGACTTCCACGTTACCTTACCTAAAGGCTAAATCTGTTCGACTCGGAGTCCCGCTGACCGAAATGTTAAATGGGTAGAGCAAATCGATCATCTAGCTAGGATAAAACTTGTAAACTTCATTCAACCAAACTTGAAAAATAGTTTAATTAATAGTCCAGGATAACAGGTCGACGATATTGCTGGAGAGATTAGACTTTGTTGTGTGATAACAACCACTGTCACTGTGAGTGCATTTGGACAATTTTCTATCTATTTGCTTTGTTGACTGCTACAAGTTTTCAACCCCATGATCGGCACTGGCTGCTTCCCTCTTCTCGTCTTATTACAAATTGAACGCACACCATTCCCCAATCAGTCGTATTAAAATTGGGGTCAGAACGAACTTTCTATCTATATTCTTTTTAAGTACTTCAGCTGTACGCTCCTTCTCGACGATTCCGAATAGAATGTGAAAAGAATTTGATATTATGTACGTGGATTAAAACAGGGATTGCACATTGTTTTATCACGTAGACTCCCTTCAGTGTTCCTCCAGCCCAAGCACAAACCAAAAATGAGTGGCACTGAGATGCGAGTAAACAACGACAGCACTGTACGTACCAGAGATTAGCCCTTTTAATTTAGTCATCAGGTTCACTCGGCTCACTCAATTAATGTACATATATCGAGTCATCCCCAGCAGCCATATTAAAATCTCTTACTTGTGAAAACATACAAGTGTTGAACGCTTCTGAATCCAATAGTTTATTTGACAAATTTTTTAAACTATCCCTACTTTTTGCAAAATTAACTAACTATATTCTTATTGTTTATATAATCTTAAACTACTTTTAAGTTTTCTTTCCCTTACAGTTAATTTAACCATCATACACAGTTTGCATGTAACACACCATGTGACTGCTGATAATTTTGTGTAAAATTCTTAAAATACTATTTTATGGTTAAAAATGCCCTTTTCATTTCAGTTCATTTCACTTAGGGCTAGTGAGGACTGGCCAGCACTAGACTATTTCTTGCATCAGGGCTCGGTTACCGATTTCTTCTTATATGAATCCATGAACTGTTGTTTGTTGTTTGTTAGCGTTGGCACCGTCGGTGGTGACCCTTTTTGTTAAGAATCATTGCCCGTGTTTGCATCATCATCGTCATTGTCAACAGTGGTATAGAACCACCGCTCATAATTAACCAATGGCCTTGTGGCATTTGTTAACATATATTTTTTAATGGGTCATTTATTAGAACATCTCTCACAGTTTTGTACATTTACTAAAACCTACCCTATACTAAAACATCCTTTACAATTTACTTAATTGACCTTTTGTTAAGAATACTTTTTTGTCTTAAATGGTAACGGGATCAATATAAACAGAGTCAAAAATTTTTGAAGGCATGAAACCATACTTTTTGTATTCCAAAAGTACCCCTTAAGCTTCACATCCAGCATGTAGAGAGAGAAATAATTAAGGTTTGATTTTCAGATCTATCAAAATATATTTGGCTTCAGTAGAATGAAGAAGAGAGAACAATGGTTGCCTTCCTCCATCACTCAGTCAGACAGCAATTTTCCTCGGAATTAGCCAACTGTGAACTGTATTATGCATCGCACCCTCCTCTCCGTAATCTTCTTGCAAAAGCCAACTTTTTTGGTTGCATTTTTGGCCAAAATCAAATTACTCAAGTTTCTTATTAGCACGGTGTGCGCCTTAATTGGCTCTTCTTGGTGCCGTAATCGCCTTCAACCTATACCAAGTTAAATGATTTCGATCTACTTGAATATACCTTCTAATCAAGGCTTTTGATCATATGTTACGTTTTTTAAATATTTAGTCTGCACTTCTAATTTAAGTGTTATTTAGGTTTATAAATTATGCTTTTGATCAACATTTAAAAACGTTGATTTATTTTTAAGAGTTAATGTCTATTCAAATTACAAAACATACATACCAGCCTTAGAGTCAGGTAAGGATTTATAGTTATTTGGAATGTGGTTTTAACATATAGCTTAAGCCTCTGTATCTTTTAAGGCATTTTCTTTTTCCTGGGTACGACCCAAGACAACATCCACCTCGCAATCCATCCCCTCAAAGAGAAAAATAAACAAAATAATAAAAATAAATTCCGAGTTGTATAGTTTCTCTTTCATAAATTTTCTTGAATGGAGCTCACGATGAGGGATAGAGAAAAAAAAGAAGAAAAGGAAGACCTCAATAAAGTTGCATCATGAACTCATTGATAAGGTTCTGGTTGGTCGTAGGAGAGTCAGGGATCAAATCACACCATGACCAGGGTTTGGGGGATGAGTTAATTATCCTATTCGAAGCCTATGAGAAAAAGGAGAAAAAATGAACAAATTCAAGGTGAATTAATAATGGAACTTATTGGATTAGTATTCCCTGCTCGAGTCAACTGAATCTGCCCAGATAAACCTCTGGCATGAACTCAATTCTTTGGTACAGGAAACTTCATGGTTTGTATTTTCTTATTTTTCCTTATTGGAGATACAAAAGCTTAATTCCTATGTTTTAGTTTCACTTGTACTGAAATAATGAATGCAGTAGAGCTTCAATCCGTTAAGGCTATGTTTGGTAGGAAAACCTTTATAAACCTTGTATTGGTTTCTCTGTCTTTTCCTTCTTCTCCCTACCTTTTCCTTCAAACCAAACATAGCCTAAAAGAAATAATAATAGTGGAGTCTTGTGCAATAGTTTTCTTCACTTTTGTTCTCTCTACACTCAGTTTCTTTACTCTAGGCTCAGTTAGGAGGAATACAAATACAAATATGTACGGTGCAAATACATACAAAATACAAAATTTTACACTCTACAATTTTGCATTTATACTCCTTCTAAACTGAGCCTTAGCAAATTCACAGGGTTTCGTTATCACATTGATGGTCCATTTAGCATGGCCACTCGTACACAGTCTTCGTAAGAAAGAAATGAGAATCAAAAGAAACCTTAGTTTTTATTCTTAAACACGTAAAAAAGACTAGTACATACACGAATACATGAACATCACAAGCCACCGTTGTCTTCTACCCTTCATAGCGAAGGAAGAACATCAACGGTTGTTTTATTACAGATATAATAGAAGGTAAAGTCAAAATTAAGGAGAGAGAGAGAGAGACGATTAATTAGTATGGCATCTAATGTTCTTTATGGGTATTGGCCACGTCCACCGCCATAGCCAGAACCATATCCAGAGCCACTGCCATAACCGGAACCATTTCCAGAACCTTCACCGCCTCCTCCTCCTCCACCTTGACCACTGCCATAACCTCCACCAACACCATGGCCAGATCCGCTGCCACTCCCTGAACCATATCCAGATCCACTCCCATTCCCGTTACCATACCCGCCTCCACCACCTCCTCCCCCACCACTTCCACCGGCAGCTCCTCCGGCACCGTATCCACTTCCACTACCCGAACCATAACCGGAACCATATCCACTACCATTTCCAGATCCACGTCCAGAACCTCCACCACCACCGCTTCCATACCCACCACCTGAAGCTACTCCAGATCCATAGCCGGAGCCGCTTCCACTTCCGGATCCGTAGCCTGAACCACTACCAGATCCTGACCCATATCCAGAGCCACCACCCCCACCACTTCCGTATCCTCCCCCTTGTGCCCCTCCATAACCAGAACCACTTCCTGAACCATAGCCGGAACCATATCCAGAACCTCCAGCCCCTCCCCCTCCTCCACTACCTCCACCTCCTCCACCTCCACTACCATAGGCTATAGACCTAGCAGCAGAGGAGAGCCCGAGGCTGAGTAGAACCAAGAATGCAACAGCAACAACTTTTGATCTAGCCATCTTGTACTATACAAGATATATATGGAGAAATGGGATAACTCAGTAAACCACTTGAAGCTCAAAGAGCAAACTTGAGAGAGCTGAGAACGATGCATAGCCATTGTAATGACAAGGTATTTATAGACAAAGTTTGGAAGCACGTCAAGGTGGCCAAGGACAGAATGGAATAGCACGTCTATCCTTGACTCGAAGGTGTCCAAATATTAATTGTTTACGACTTTGCCGTGTGGATGCGAACTATATCTATCCAATATCCATTTTTGTTTTGTTTTATTTTGGTGATGGCTAGCCGCTAGCGGGTCAACAGAATCCAGAAGAAGAAGAAGATTAGAAACCCCGGCAAACCATATATGATTATGAAAGATGGAAACAGCATGCATGAGAGTAATTCCTTCGCCTCTCTCATGGGCCTCACCAACTCCATGTCTCCATGCTCGTTACAGATGGCTTGGCCGTGTTGAAATTTAAACAAAGTGTCCGACCATGTATAAAGCAGTCTGAGTCTGATGAAATGCTATACTTCGAGTGGTTCCTGAGTACTCCACTGGTTACCATTCCAAAGCTTATGGCCGCTATTTCAGGCTTAGTAGCTAGTCCGGCCAAGCCTGGACGAACCCATTGGTTCCTTAACCACCTCCACGTATGTATCCTGGTCAAAAACCAGGCTTACTCTCTAGCCTAGAAAACAATTTCTAGCTTAGCTTCATAACTGGATAGACCCAAGAATGCTGCAACTATACACTTCTGTGCTTGGTCATGTTTTTCCCCTGTCCATGCTTGTAACCATGAAATGTATTGACAGCTGGCTCTTGAATGATATTCTACCACATTCTTTTGTTGACTATGTGTCTATGTCTATACTATACTCACAAAAAAAGTTAATTTAAACTAGCTTACACTATCAAAAACACGGAAATAGGTTAGAAAATGAAAAATCTTTCACCGGATCGAACGGTTTAGTTGTTCAACCATCTTATTAGTGATTCACCTACCAAATCAAAGGTTTCTATAAATTTCTGGGTTAAACATAAAATAGAACTGAACAACTGACCGGCTCCCGGGTCAAATGGTCTGACAGCCTGGTCCGGTCTGATTTCTAAACAGTGCATTGAATGACACTCTTGTGATAACTTCTTTCAGTAATTTCTCGGGAGGCGGGAGCAGCTCAGCGAAAGCAACTGAACTAATAATTTAGCGGTTCAACCCCAAACCAATTAGGATTAGATTTGTTAGGGCCCAGTTTGCGAGCCAAGGTGGACCATGTAAATGGAATTTGACTTTGTTGAATGATAACATTCATTTGCATATGGAGAGTTTACTATCCATTTGCTTTGTTGACTATCAATCAAATCAACGATCGATATCAAAATAAAAAAGTATGGTTACGAGGTCAATTTTCTGTCACCACCAGATTCGCCGCTTCTCTGGTCTCATCGTATCAAAGTACACGATAATATTGCACGCACACCAATTCACCAACCACACATATATCTCAAACGACGACGACGTCTCTCAGAATTAATGCACAGATATCGATTCACCAGTTCACCATTATATTATAAGGTTAGTGGTTGTTGGTTCCTGTTCTAAGTCTCATGGCGCCAATTTCGGGCCTTGTACCGAGAGTTAGAACTGCTCGCGTGGGCTTCGGATTCAACTTTACATTGTATTGGGTTCAGGTTTCAGGTCAGTTTAATTAAAATTATGCAATGTTTTAAAAATTGATATGGAATCGGATTGGTTTTGGGGTCAGTGGTTCTACCGTTTGATTTGTATAGTTAATTCATTTTAAATTTAAAAAATATCAAATAATTAAATTTAAAGGCCAAAAATTATTGTTCACGTCGAATGAGTCAACGATTCAATTGTTTCGGTCAATGGGTCGTTGGCCAAGTTATAATGGTTTTTGGCCAAATGGCCAAAGGTAAAACAGAACTGATTGTCTAAACGATTTCCATGCCAAATGATCTAAGTGTCTAGGTCAATGAAGATTCTAAAACACTAAAATTTTGACAAAAGTTGAGTTTGATCAATGAAAATATGTCTATTGAGATTTGAGAGTCCGACCAGGCCTGAACTGATCTAATGCCCATTGGACACATAATCCAACTCAAGCCCCTTTTGATCCTTTCAGACAATGTTGTGAGACTACGGTTGGACTAAAAACCAAAATGTTGCTCCATGAATCAGAGTTTTTGGCTTAATCATGCAATTAATTTGCTCAACTTGTAAAAAATGTCATTTAACTGAAACCCACATTCTTGGATTTAATGGTTCAACCATCCAATCCGGTTGATTCTTCCAACACTAGCATCAAATATATTCTCTTCTATTTTACTGCCCTGTCAGCCCTATGAAACAATAGCCTATAGTTAGAATAAATCTACCAAGGACCCTGAATAAAAACTGGACCTGAGGGTCCGTAATTTTAGACCCATAACCAAACCAGTCGGTTCATAGCACAATTGGGTATAATTTGATGGGTCCGATTATAATAAATCTACTAAAAATATTTTATATATATAATATCAATTTATTTGATATTATATATATATGTATATGACTTCTCGACCCATGGTTGGGACCATGACTTCTACATTGGCTTTCTATTCATTTGGATGACATTCTATCCGATTCTTCTGTTGATAGGACTTGACAAAAAGATTTAGAGTACATTGGCTTTCCATTTGGATTTTAATCCTCTATTTTGAGTCTGGATCTCGTGTCAACAATTACGTTCTCACATCCTTCCAACCAGATCTAACATTGCACATTTCATACATGGCTGGTCCCAGTTGTATGGTGGGTCCTAATCTCATACTAAGATGTGCAAGATCATGTCGGAAGGGTGTTGGCATGTGCTTTGTTGGAAGGAGATCCCAATTACTTCCAAATGATTTTCAATGCTCCCCACAGAGCACTCTTCATACGTATCAATCCCAACACATTTCTGATGTACATCTTAAACATCTTTCATGCTTGTATGGAAGGTTTATAAATCTGAATCGGACAACAAACCGGTTAGGGTGTCTGGTTCCCGGGTCGAACGGTCCGATTGTTTGAATCGAATGGACAGCCTGTTTTGAAAAAAATAAAGAACGGCCAAACCGTTGGATGGTTTGAACGGTTTGAACAATTCGATCGCCCGGATCTACGGTTTTCTTACCAAATCAACAGGTTGTAGCGAAATAACAGTTATGAGATAAAATGGAACCGATTACCAATTACTATCATTGAAGAGATTCTCTCTCAATACACAGATGTAGCATGAGGTTAGTGGGGAATATCCCGTAGAGGACCTGAGTTCCTTCAAAACACTTAAAAGACACCCACCTATCTCATCTTGCTTAATCTTCATTCTACAACTTCCGCGTCCGATGGGATAGCTCTGAAACTGATCATTCAACATATAGACTTCCAAGTTCCAAGTTATCTGACCCAAATCTAGTTCAACGTGGTGTCGCGGAAACCTAAATGATCGATAATGGGTAGAGAAAATTGAGTATATATCTAGGATAGTCTAGAATAACAATTTGAGATGCTGGAGATTTAGACTTTGTTGCGTGATAACGACCACTCTTCACTTCACCTATCTCGTCACATTACGCACAAATTGGACTCACACCGATTCACCAATCAACCATATTAAAATGGGAGAATGACGGTCATAAGTACATGATATTGAGTACATGTCTTTGACTCTTAATTTGTTTAATACGTAAAATTCCGCATTTCATGCAACTTGGAATTATTATAGAATTGACTGACCTCTTTATTTACTCGCACTCGTTTATTATAATAAATAAAGGGAATATTTCAATTTAATACCTTGAACTTTGCGATAGTGTTAAGTTAGTATCCGACCTTTAAAGGTGTCATTGCAGTATTTAAACTTTCAAAAAATGTTAAATTGGTCCCTATCTTAATCGATTGTTCAATTATTTATTTAAAATGTTAAAACTATCTTTCAAAAGAATATAAACTGGTTGAGATTAACAAGAGAAAAAAAGTACATATTTTCACACAGAATCACTCACCGTGACATCGAAACAGAGAAAAAAAAATAAATTTTATCCAAAAAATGATTTGCATACAAAATTTGTCAATCGTGCTTCCTTTTGATTTAAGAGAAAACGATGGGATTTATTGCATATTTAGGGTTTCAACTTTCACCAAATTTCTGCAATGGAGAAAAAGAAAACGAGAGAGCATATTACATGAGGAGGGATGTCAAACAGACATGGGACAGACGTTGCCATGTCATTGAGTTAATAGGAAGGGCAGTAAAATGTGGGTGAGTAAGAAATTTAGCTCTAGTCTATGACTGTGGATTCTTTGTTAGGTTTATATTAGGATCCTACACGCCTTTCTTTTGAGGCATTAATTACTTTTTCTGGGAGCACAACATCCACCTACCAATCCATCCTCTCAACAAAGTTATATCAAGAATTTATTGATAATGATAAATATGATAGTTAAAATTCAAGGTGTAATTAATAACAATGGAGCTTGGATAAGCATTCTCTATTCGAGTCAACTGAATCTGTTCAGATAAAAGTTTGAGCTTGGACATTAACTCAATTCTTACACGGGAAATTAAGGCTTCTTAGAGCTTATCCCAAACATGTTGAGTCCGAGTATGTTTTCTTTTCTTCCCTTCACTCCATTACAAGAAACAGTAATAAAGGAGTATCGTTCATGAGTTTTCTTTACTTTTGTTCTCTCCATTCAGCACAGCCAATTTGTACACAATCTTATATGCATCATAAGAACAAAGAAATGAGAACCGAAAGAGATCTTACTTAATTTATTCTTAATACACATTGGAAACACAAGTACATGCAGGATTACATGCATATAATCACAATCCGTTGTTGTCTTCTTCCTTTCATACATGATACGCCAATAGGGCAAGAGAAGAAAAGCAACGGTTGTTTTATTATAGGTAGAAGACAAAGTTAGTCCATCTTAGAGAGAGAGAGAGAAGAGAGAGGGTTGTATTTGTATAGCATCTGATAGCTAGGTCCTTTACGGGTATTGGCCACGACCACCACCATAGCCAGATCCATAACCAGAACCACTACCATAGCCGGAACCATTTCCTGAACCTCCACCACCACCTCCTCCTCCTCCTTGACCACTACCATAACCTCCACCATTTGCACCTCCACCAACACCATGGCCAGATCCACTACCGCTTCCTGAACCATAGCCAGACCCACTCCCATTCCCACTACCATAGCCGCCTCCACCACCTCCTCCCCCACCACTTCCATAACCACTTCCACCGGCAGCTCCTCCGGCACCGTATCCACTTCCACTCCCCGAACCATACCCACTACCATTTCCGGATCCACGTCCAGAACCTCCACCTCCGCCGCCACCACCTCCACTTCCATACCCACCACCTGCAACTACTCCAGATCCATAACCGGAACCACTTCCACTTCCGGATCCATAGCCAGAACCACTACCAGATCCTGATCCATACCCGGAACCACCTCCACCTCCACCTCCACTACCCCCACCCCCACCACTTCCGTACCCTCCCCCTTGTGCCCCACCATAACCAGAACCGCTGCCTGAACCATAGCCGGAACCATATCCAGAGCCATTGCCCGAGCCGGCCCCTCCACCACCTCCACTACCTCCACCTCCTCCCCCTCCACTACCATAGGATATAGACCTAGCAGCAGAGGAGAGCCCAAGACTGAGTAGAACCAAGAAAGCAACAGCAACCGCCTTGGACCTAGCCATCTTTGTATCTAAGAAGGGAATTGGGATCACTCGGTAAACTACTTCAAGCTTAGACAGTAAACTTGAGAAAGGTGAGATCGATGCATTGCCAATGTAATGAGATGGTATTTATAGACAAAATTTGGAAGCACGTCAAGGTGGCGAATGACAGAGTGGAGTTCCCGCAGTCTCTATCTCTATCCTTGATTCGATGGTGTCCCGTTGTTTACGACTTTTCCTTATAGCTAGTAGCAACTCGATAGCCTACATGTTACCTCTTCAATTTTCTATTGCTTTCTTTTGTTTTATTATAGTGATCGCTAGAAGGTCAAACAGAACCCCAAAGAAAAAACCCCAGCGAACCTTGGAGAAAAGAAAACGAAGGAGGGCTAATAAATTTTTAGTTCTAGGTTGCCACCGGGAGATTCGCCGCTTCCGATGTTGGGTGCTTGCATTCCTACGTCTCATGGGATTCACCAACTCCCACCATGTTAATGCTTGTTACAGATGGCTTGGTCGTGTTGAAAAAACAAAGTGTCTAAGTCTAACTATGAATGGTTACTGACTCCATCACTCCACCGATTATTATCACAAATCTTATTGCCTCCATTTCAGACTTAGTACTCAGTTCGGCTAGAACTGAACCAACCCATTGTTCCTAAAAGACTTGTATAGCCTGGTCAGAAACCAGTCCTACCGCTGTAATCCTACTCTCTCTCTCTCTAGTCTAGCAAACAATAGCTAGCTCATAGCTCAATAAAGCCAAGAGTGTAGCAACGATACCATCTTATGCACGGTCATCTTTTCCGGCCCCTAGTCAATGCTTGTAACTTGTAACCATGATATGACTGTCTTATGCATGGTCATCTTTTTGCATTCGGTTAATATTTTTATCTGATTATTCTGTTGACTTGACTCAGTAAAAAAGTTTAAACTTTAAAGTAGCTTACACTATGAAAACAAGGAAATAGGTTAGAAAAAGAGGATATCACTTCTTTCCATTTATATGTATATCCTGGATCTTCAAAATCCACCACCCAACTTCATCTTTATTAATTTAATCTTCTCTCTTCCGCGTGTTATGAGATAATTAACTATGGATATTCATCATTCAACTAATAGGTACCACGTTAACTTACCCAATCTTAAGTTGGTAGAGTAATTAAGTTTCGATTACACCAAAGCTCTATCTGAATCTATATATAGTTTGTTAGTGGAACTTCAGTCAATAAAATTATAAAATCAGGCTTGACTCGGCCTCTCCTACCCACAAATAGGGGTGTCAATGGACCAGTTTTGGGTTTGATCCAATCTGATCCAAGCCTTATCAAATTAGTTTTGGAGGGTGCATTATAATTGCTGGATTGAACTAAATCCAAAATAAATTGTCAGTACTTTTATTGGTTTGAGTTGGCCCTAAACCAAAACCCAAATAGTTTGATTGCCAAACCCTACCGATTTGAAACCATCGAAATTCGAAACTGAAACTGTCAGGCAGATCTTCTCTTCGACGATCTGAAGTAACTCTGTAAATCTAGAAGACTGGAACCAGGATTGTCTCAGCCTCTGGCAATCATTCTCTTTGGCAGCTCTTCTGTTCATCAATTTGAAGAAACTCTGGAAATCTAGAAGACTAGAACCAGGATCCTTCGCTCTCTAGCAAGCATTTTCTCCTTTGCTTCAGGTTTCTCTCTCTCTCTGATTTTTTTTTGGTTCTATTTTTGGGTTTCTTTTGATAGATTCAAATATTCTTCTAATGTCACTCATGCCTCTATGCATTTGCTGGATTTACCACTCAATATTGAAACTCATTGTCAGATCCTTTCCAACTCCCTCTCTATTCCCGTGCATTTGCGGTTTGGTGATATAATTTTTGTTTATTTGTTTTACTTATTGTTATTTCATTTAATTTGTTTATTGATTCGTTGGCTATATCGTTTATTTTCATGTTTTAGTTGTTTTATTTGGATTTGAAGTGGACCATTTGACGTCTCTTATTGTTCCAGATATTTAATGTTCTATTTGATTTGATGTGACATTGAAAATGCAAGCAATTCTAAAGATGTCAATGAAACATCTGTGGCATCAAGTTCTAGTCGAAGGAGGACTAGATCTAAAGCTTGGAAATACTTTATAAGAATAAGATTGGATTCCGGGGAGGAGAAAACTGTTTGTATATATTGTGGAAAACAATATTTGGGAGTAGTAAAGAGACAAGCCACTTGTTGAGTCATTTACCAAGATGTCCTAAAATGAAGGAAATGTGTGCTAGTGAACAACAAGCTTAAGTGGAGTTTAAATTTAACCAAGATAGGAGCAAAATGGAATTAGCAAAGATGATAATGAGACATGGGCATCCATTTAGCATAGTTGAAGTAGAATTTTTCAAATATTTTTTAATAATCTTCAGCCATCATTTAGGTTTGTTTCTAAAAATATAATAAAGAATAATGTCATAAAGATTTACTTGGATGAAAAGGAGAAGTACAAATACTTTGATGGTTTGGATTGTCGGATTAGCTTAACCACTAATATGTGGACTTCGGAATAGAATTTAGGGTATTGCTGTTTAACAACACATTTTATAGATGATGGGTGTGAGTTGAAGAAGAATGTTATTGCGTTTATGGCAGTTGAGTATCCTCATGGTGGAAACACTCTGTATGAAGTTGTTATGGAGAGGTTGTTGACTTGGAACATTGATAAAAAAATATGTTCTATAATAGTTGACAATGCCTCTAACAATGATGTTACAGTAGGGAGCTTAGGAATCGGTTTTGTGTTAAGGGTTTACTTCCATTAAATGGTGACCTATTTCATGTGAGATGTGTTGCTCATATCTTCAATCTTATTGTGCAAGATGGATTGAGAGAAATATCACCATTGTTGCATAAGATTCGAAAAAGTGCTAAATATGTAACTAACACCCCATAAGAAGAAAAAAATTGACAATGCAAGAATCCAAGCAAAAGCACAACATAAGAGAGGGGTGGTTGTTGGTTGTCCAACGGGATGGAACTCCACATATGACATGTTGGACATAGCTTTAGAGTTGAAAGAAGCATTTAGTTGACTAGTCGAGATCAACCATGATTATAAGATTCTATCATCTGATGAGAAATGGGAGATGGGTTCAATGGTATGGGAATATTTGCAAGTTTTTTACATTTCCACAAAACACTTTTCTAGTACTACTTCTCCAACCTCAAATGTTTTTTTTCTTGATATTTGTACAATCAATCTTCTGATGCTTCTGTGGCTAGATAATGAACATGAGTATGTTCATTCAATGACAAATATAATTAAGCAAAAATTTGATAAATATTGGGATGATTGTTCTTTGGTGCTTGCGATTGTAGTTGTATTTGATCCCGGGTTCAAGATGGAGATTGTAACATATTACTATAATCTCATTTATGGAGAGACTATTGAGAGACATGCCATAAGTGTTATAAAGGCAATGAATGACCTATATTTAGAGTATGTGGGTTTTGATACAAAGGATAAATCATTTGCAGGCTCTAGTAATGCATCTCAACCATTGAGGATTCGTGGTGTTGATTTTTTGTACGGTTTTGATTGGTGGTAGACCGAAGAGCATGTAGAATGTTGTTTACGAACTCAAAAGTCAAAGTTTGATTTTTATCTTGAAGAAAAATTGTTTCCTAGAGGTGAAGAGTTTCATATTTTGATATTCTAGAGAAATTAATGGTCCCAAGTTTCCATAACTCTCTAGATTGGTATGCGATATTTTGGCAATTCTAATATCTACTATATCATTTGAGAGAACATTCAGAATTGGGGGTAAACTAGTGGATTAATATCGTATTTCATTACTTCCAGAAACAGTGGAGGATAGTTTGTGGGCAAGACTGATTAGAAGCTCCAACTACAAAAAGCAAGTTAAAAAATGAATCTTGAAATAGTTGCTCTCTCTCCTATATGTTTCTGTTTGTTTATGTTTTTATTTCTAATAAGTGTTTTTGGTTGTGCATTATTATGTTTTAGAATTGGATCTTGAAACAATTGCTACCTCTCCTGTATGTGTGGCTTCCACAGTTGACACTAATTGAACATGTAAGTTATGACAAATGGTCTACAATTAATTTATTTGATTTACAAAATGTTCATATTTATCTAATTTGACTAAGCAAATGATTTATTTTAGGATATTGGAGCATATGCCATGCATCTAGGTAGGACATTTTTGCTTTAAATTCTGGTGTAAGGATTTCCACTAGTGTAAATGAATGAGAGTTGAAATATTCTGAGTGTAAATTCTAGTTAATTTTGCTTTAAATTTGATTTCTGATTATCTATTTGTCAAAAATAATTTGTGGATAATTGCTGCACCCACAACACCCATCTAATCTTATTGTGCTTTGTTGGGTTTAAGCTTTCTCTGAAATTGTTGCACGTAAATTTTGCTTTCTGAAGCAAAATGTCCATGAATTTTAATCTATTTATCACCTCTGCAAACATCATTATTTCTGCAGTCATCTGTGATCAAAAATAGTTTATGGACAATATTCTTTCCTTGACTATGGTTAGTCATGTTCATTTGGTGCAGAAGTCCCAGATTCAGATTTGGATCAACACGGTGTTAGATCCAGCATCAGATCAAACTCAAGCCAGTTGTAGCTGAACCTAAGGCCTATTGGTGGATTCTGTAACTTCGCGAACCTGCATTGAAAACCTTGAAAGAAGAAATTATAGCTAGAAAGTTTGCATATAATACATGAATGGTTCTTATTTTAAAAATATGGAACCAGAAATTTGTTAATTTTTAATATTACAAACTTATATAGTTTTAAAACATTTATAATTTTACATATATATATATATGTGCAAATGTTTAATATATGATAATTGATAAACATAAATTATGACAAATTCTTTACTTGGTTCCTAATCATACACAAACCATTCCCGTATCGTGTTTCTATCGAACAATTGTTTACTATGGGGAAATATGATCTAAAACAAGAACTAGTGGCCTATGAATCGATATGAGATCTTGACAGGAAGCAAAACCCATGAATTGGATCGCTGTTTTCTAAGGAGGTGTTGACAATTTAGTTAGTTTTGCTTTTGAAAACAAAAAAACAAAAGCAACTTAGATTGTTGATGTGGGATGTGGCAGTGTTGTTTTTGTTTTTGCCCAAGAGAGTGTTTGACAACGTGGTTGATAACTTGATATAGATTAGCTATATAATTAATTCTTTCACATTGATTACGGTTGAGAAGACAATTACGATTAAACACAGAACCACTAACCCCAGTTGAGCGTGGCCTAGGAAGTTGAGCATATATATCCACCAGAGCTTTCTCTTTTATTAACATTTAATTAATTTTTAAAAGCACACAACGTAAAGAAAAATGAGCCTTAGAATAGGAGAAAGAAAACCCTAGAACATGAATGACCCATCTAGCCCACGAGCTTGGCCTAGTTGTATTAGGTTTTAGCTTGGGTAAGCTTTGAGCGGGTCATATTTATTTATTTGTTTATTTCTGTGTAAAAGAAAAGATGAATGCCGTTAATACTTTAATTTTGGAACTGATGGCTGTTATTTGCATGTTTAATACTAATTAATATTTGAGAAGAATTTGCCTTTTCATTTGGGGTGTAAAAAAATTGCAAAAGAGGCATGAACTAGTTTATTTAGATAATACATAAGAAGAGGAACCTTCTATACAACTGAACTGAGTGCACAAGCATATCACAGGTCAAATGGTCTTCTCCAATTCGATCATAGTGGTAGAAATGGAGGGGAGCGAACATTCGACAGTGATCTTATTACATGTAATGTAAGTAAAGAAAAAGCACCATTGTTCAGACCTTGATATATTATTTTGTATGAGACTTGCATAAGCATTCTATGCATGTCCACCACCATTGCCAGACCCATAACCAGAACCGTATCCAGAGCCACTACCATTGCCGGAGCCTTTTCCAGAACCACCACCTCCTCCTTGACCACTCCCATAACCTCCTCCACTGGCACCTCCACCAACACCATAGCCAGACCCGCTTCCACTACCTGAGCCATAGCCAGATCCACTCCCATTTCCACTGCCTGAGCCGCCTCCACCACCACCTCCTCCACCGCTTCCATAACCATGTCCACCTGCTCCTCCAGCACCATATCCACTTCCGCCCCCAGAACCATATCCACTACCATTTCCAGCTCCATGTCCAGAGCCTTCACCTCCACCTCCACCACCTCCACTTCCATATCCACCTCCTGCAGCTACTCCAGATCCATAACCTGAGCCACTGCCACCTCCGGAACCATATCCAGAGCCGCTACCAGATCCAGACCCATATCCGGATCCACCACCACCTCCACCACCCCTACCACTTCCATACCCTCCTCCTTGTGCCCCACCATAACCGGCACCACTCCCAGACCCATAGCCTGAACCGTAGCCAGAACCATGGCCCGATCCACCCCTACCACCACTTCCACTACCTCCCCCACCTCCCCCTCCACTGCCATAGGCCATAAACCTAGCAGCAGAGGAGAGCTCAAGACTAACTAAAACCAACAACGCAAGAGCTAGAACTTTGGATCTCATCATCTTTTACCTAAGATAGGACCGGGTTGGTTTATCACCGGCTCAAACTAAAAGCAAAGAATTTGAGAAAGCTGAGAACGATTGATGTGTAGCGGCTGTAGCCATTGCAAAGGACCAGGTATTTATAGACAGAACTTGAAGAGCACATCGAGGCTGTGAGTGAACTGGACACTGAAGGAAAATTGCCCACGGTCTCATCTCATTTCAATTTTCAAGACTTATTAGTGTCCCATTGTTTATGACCTCGCGGTGTAGTGGCATCTCAGTGTTCTCATTGGAGCTTCTGGACAATTCTCTATCGCTTTCTTTTGTTGACTCAAAGTCAAAACTCCACATAAAGAAACGAACTTGAGTGATTAATGAAACTAGAAAACAACATATGAACCTAATTTTCTATGCCATAAGTGTGCTCCCCACTTTCCCTATTGCATTTCCGCGTCCAATGGGATTCATATACACCGCCTCACCAAACCCCACCAAGTCTTTTACTTGTCACAAGACCGTATAGAGAAAAAATAAAGTGTTTATTGTCTATGATTATCCTAGTTAGTGCTTACTTTCCCATCTTCATGCAATATTTTTCTTCAGTTCAGATTGTGCACCACTCGGCTAGGCCAATTACCACCCTTTCTCCATCTCCCCTCCTAACCTACCGGAAAATAGCCTGACACACTAAGGAGTAGGAGAAACCAAGTGCGCAACGTCTCTGCCTTATTCATCTGGCCGTGTTGTATACTTTTATGTCCTCATCCATGCTTATTAATTATGTAGACCTTGACGTGTAGTAACAATCTGCTTCCATGCATTTTCATGATATTATTGACTACAGAGTCACAAAAACACTTGATCAAAACTATATAAAAGCATGAAAAAAGGCCAAGAAAAAGTCGACACCAGACCACTTGCTTTAATTTCAAAGTCTGGATGGTTCGAAAAGTCCTTGTCCAAATTACTTCTTAGTTTAAGTGGGAATGCTCAAAGTCTTAAAGGGGGTGCTGCAAGCCTACACTTTGCATTTCCACTAATGCTCAGTTTGGAAGGAGTACAAACAAATATGTTGAGTGTAAAGCCTTGTATTTTGTATCATTTTGTGTGTATTTGTACTGTACATATTTGTATTTGTATCCTTTCCAAACTGAGACTAAAGCCCTATCTCACTATCTGCTCATATATCCCACTTGAAAATGAAGATAAAGAAAGAGGCTTAATTAATTTATTAGTGCTTTGAAACCCATAAAATTCAGGTCTGCTAGCCAAGAAATTGAGTCATGTCTTGACTAGTTATCCGGACTTGACAAGCTAGCCAGCCATTAACTCATTCTACGAATTATGTTTCAGGTCAAGCTGGACCATAGCTAGCCGAGTTCTGAGCTTATTCGTAGGTTAACTCCTAACCCATATAGCAAAAATAGTTATAGCAATGAGCAGGATTATGGATACACCCAACCCTTTAATGGAGGGATGCGTGCCCTATGGCTATGGTGTTTGGTACTGAAGGAGATTGAACTGGAGGAAAGAAGGAATTAATGTTAAGATATTAGAAAATCATCGACGGTTCGTATTGATTATAAAAATTATATTAGCATAGATGATCAGTCAAATTGTCAAGTCCTTGTTTCATTGTTTGATTTGTATTGTTGGGGCTTCAACTTCAAGCTTTGTATAACTCTTTACAAGATGAAAACGTCCCAAAGCATTGTACTCCTTCCAAACTGAGCATAATGGGCGAGCCTGTATACACTTAACAAAAAATATATAACAACAATGATATGACGATGTTGATTAAGTTCAAAATTGTACTTATATTTGTGACCAAGAACTGGACACCTAGTAAGACATTTGAACCATATATATTATATATTCTTCTAATACAAACCTTTGCCCGATTTTGAATTATTCATGCCTTCCGAAAGAGAGTGAGAGCGAATGTCACTAACTAGCTTTAAGGCATTAAATAATAGCCATACCGCTTGTGGGTGTTTGTAAGTCAATAATCCGGCCAATATGAAAATGAAGTGTGCAGATCAAATCAGTTTCAGAGTTTCAGACTTAATCTAGAAATTAAAACGACCACAGCTTTTAATCTAGTGGAGGCAAATCAAATCATCCTGAACTGGAAGCAGCAGTGACTCGTTTTCTTTGTTCCATTCTTTTCAGGATTTTTATCCTTTATTTATTATTATCGTTCTTTCTTTCTTTCTTTCTGTGTTCTTTTGACTTCATGGCAGAAGCCAGAAGATAACAAAGTGGCATCCGAGTGCACGAAGTGAGTCATCAGTTGTCACCAGATGCATCTGTAACCACACCAACAAAGTCTCAAACAAGGGGAATTTGGGATCGAATACACACCCACCGCCATTTCCTACCAACCCACCACGAATGGTTGCCTCCACAATGCTGTTTATAAATACCCAAACATACCTGAAACGTCTTATGCATTCAGCTCTCGCATCATTTGCTTAAATCCAATTCCAAGCTATTCTATCTGAGTAGAAGATGGTCAAATCAAAAGTTGTAGCGGTTGCTTTCATAGTTTTACTTAGTATTGGGCTCTCCTCTTCTGCAAGGACCGTAATACACGGTAAGGGAGGAGGTGGTGGTAGTGGTGTTGGTGGTGGTGGTGGGGAAGGTTTAGGTGGTGGGTCTGGCTATGGCTCAGGCAATGGTTCCGGGAGCGGAGGTGGTCATAGTGGGGCACAAGGGGGAGGTTATGGAAGCGGTGGGGGTGGTGGAGGTGGAGGTGGCTCTGGGTCAGGGTCTGGTAGTGGCTCTGGTTATGGCTCTGGGAGTGGTAGTGGCTCTGGTTATGGATCCGGAGTAGCTTCAGGAGGCGGGTATGGAAGTGGTGGTGGTGCTGGTGGTGGAGGTGGACATGGATCTGGCAGCGGCAGTGGTTATGGTTCTGGAGGTGGCAGTGGTTATGGTGCCGGGGGAGGAGCCAATGGTGGAGGGTATGGCAGCGGTGGAGGCAATGGAGGAGGAGGGGGCGGGGGTTCCGGAAATGGTGCTGGCCACGGCAGTGGCTCTGGATATGGGTCCGGCTATGGGTCAGGTTACGGCGGGGGACATGGCCAAATCCCTTAAAGGACCTAATGGTTTGTCACGTCCAAATCCCTATCAAGCAATTTCCTCTTTACTTTTCACGTAGTAAGTTGTTGTCCTATAGTCATCACTCACCGTTTATCTGCATGCTTATCTTATGTACATGTTTATGTGGCTTAATTGTCACCATCTATTAAGAAAATAAATCTTACTTTCGTTGATCTATTTCTCTTCATAAAATCTCTTCAAGGGTTTCAAGTTTGCACACAGAGGAATGCTGTAAAAGTAAAACAACTTTGCCATGGATATGGTGAAACCCATGAGAAAAAACATGAGACACCCAGCCACAATTTGGCATTAGCCATTCAGCTAGGGGACGAGATCTTCTGCAAGCAAAAACTCTATATATACTCTGCAAGTGTTTCGCAATTCGCACTGAATCTCCTGCTTCAGAGATTCACAATATCTCACCATGGTCATGCGTATTTTTTAGAAGATTTTTTTGTAGTTCTGACAGTTAAAAGATGTATTGAGCTTTTGACATAAGATCTGGGCAGCCCAAAGACAATTTGGTAGATGCGTGTCTTTTCGTGTGCTGCCCGCATTTTTCTGCACAAAATTAAAATGTTAAAGATGTGGGAAGCTTCATTTGAAGCTTCCAGAAATCAGCCCGAAATGGGCTTTTTGTGCCTTTTCGGTGCACCATCTTTTGGCGACTAGATTCTCCATGAATCAAATGGGAATAGACCAAAAATCAGTTTTTCTAACTTATAAACAACCGAAAGACCACACAGAAAGACACGTCAAAAGAGCTAAAATGTATTCAATTGGCCAGTTGGCCTTGAATGCACGAGCCCAATAGTGTTGTAAGATTGTAGCAAATTTTGAGCCGAAATGAGCCACATAAATAACGTAGCTTATAAATGAGGGACCTTAATCATACCGACCCTTGTATATATAGCACATGTTGCAACCGGAACATATCACACTACCTTTGAAAAATATAAAAAATATACGTATTTTCACTGTAAATACAATCAAAATTACAAAGTATAAACCGTAAGTTGAGGTCAAACTTGGCCCAAGCTCTTGTATAAGTTGTATTTGCCTCTTGGGTTTAGCCTGGCTCATCATATTTGGTACATTCATCCCACCAGTTGTAAGTAACATAAAAGCCCATATACGAAGGCCCACAATTTCGAATCTAAGCTTAGACCAAATTGAGCCCAGTTTAGAAAACAATAACTTGCTCATTTAAAAATTCCCAAAGAATCAGTTGAGCTAGTCTGGAATCATTTGCAAACACAATTGTCCATAAGACAATAAACCCAGAGTATCTATTTTAGTATTTCTACTAGAATTAGGATGGTATCAAGTTGGAAAGATTAGATTGGGTTAAGGGGCAACCCATGCCTAACCCTAACACTGGGCCCCCGCGCTAGGCTGAGTCCAACCGTCCAAGTAAGGGGATGCCAAAGCTCACTACTAACATGGGCGCAACCCAACTTAAACCGTAGAACCTCTATCCAGGTCCAGGTATGGTAGGTAGGGGTGTCAATTAGATTGGGTTTAGTTCAATCCGAAATGTGAGTCCATTACAAATGGACCGTGTCCAAATGCAATGTAATGAATATTTAAACCATTTTGGACGGTTCAATCTGTTCAATTTTGTTTTAATTTAGATTGATTCTAACCTCTGGTCTATTGACACCTATATTTTCATCTTCTCTCAATGGACTAGATATTTGCTCAATCCAATCCAAGCCAATATAAATTCATTACAAATAGATCCGGTCCAATCCAATGCAATAAATATTTGGACCATTAAGTCTGCACTGGTTCAATTCAATATATCTTGTTGATCCATTCAATCAGTCCAAATTGATTTTAACCAATCCATTGACACCGTTAATCGTAGGGATAGGGTGCACCTGATCAAGAGTCTCGCGACTAAGGGATCTTCCATCAGTGTTTTTGAGGATTGGAAGTTTGGAACCTACCCATTGGATGTGTCCCACATAAGAGATTAACCAAATCAAAATTCAGCTTAAAATATGATTGCATTGGTACATTTTTTGTAATTTGTATATATTGTGGATAGACAAGGTGTGAAGGTCCAAAAGTATTTAGCTGTTTATCCTTTTGTCTGAAGGACACCATACTGCAATACTCTAGCAATGTTTTAAAAACCATCTATGTGGTCTCAAAAATGGGCCCAATTTACAATTGACTATAGGCTTGTGTAGTTGTGGATAGTCCTGGACCCCTGGATATATTGTAATAAAAATGGGCTTAAGTCAGTGAAGATGAGGCGATAAATTGCTACTGGGCTTCTAATTACAGGCTAGAATTTGTTCTTAAGGCCAATGTAAAGCCCAGATTATTTTGGGCCAGTGCAGAAAAGACGCGGAATGCTGATGTCTGTGTTGGCCTCAACTTGAACTCTGTCCATTCGTGCCAACTGAAGATTGTCAGCCATTGACAAGCTAGATACCTTATGGATGGCAGATCAAAAGGTCCTTAACGCCTAGCAGAGGGTGCCCATAACAGAAGCGCACCAGCTTAGAGCTTGTATACCAAATAGGTTGTTATGTTTTGCCACGAAGGCACAGTTTGAAAGAAGTAGAAATACAAATATGTACAGTGCAAATGCATACAAAATAATACAAAATGCAAGATTTTACACTCTACATATTTGTATTTCTACTCCTTCCAAATTGAGACGAAGGAACATCGAAAAGCAAGTCTTTTTTGCTTTCCACCAAATTACCCGGAGGATAGATAGTTAATGGACTCTGAAAGCCCAATTCCCAATTCAATAACGAATCCGATTATTCCAGATCAGATTTGCATTTGCTTAATAATTAATTGGATACGAATTTAATTGATTAAAATCTAAATCTGATTAAATATTATTATTTTATGTATATATATGCATGTATAAATCAAAATTAACTATGTTTTAATTTATAATTTTTCTTTTGTCATTTTTAGCACAATAACTTGGATGTGGTTTAAATGGGAATAATCGAACATATTGGTTTTCAGATCAGATTTTAATCCAAAGGTTTAATAATCAAATCGGATGTAGGTGTCACGGGATTCTTCTATCTGAATCCAATCCGCTTATAACCTTAAGATCCATAAAACTAAAATTTTATTTAGCTCTCTTTGAGTAGGTTTTACAAGGTTTCATTTTGTGTAAGTGACGAGAGTACCCTTTAGAACAGATGGTGCAACAGATTCAACTGATTCAAAAATAAACTCTGACGATTAAAAGCTAATGAAAGTAAATCCCCACATCATTAGTAAGAGTGGTAGGGAAATTATGCTAATATAACTCATCACCAAAGATTCAAGGGTTAATCTTAGGGGTGAGCAAAAAAATTGAAATACTGAACTGACCAAAATCGAACCGAAAAATTGGTTAATCAAATCGGTTGGTTCGGTATTTTTAAAAAATCAAAGGTACCGGTTCAATTTTGGTTAATCAATATAAAAAATCGGTGATTAATCGAACCGACTGATATACATATATTTCTATATATTTTGTATATATTTATGTATATTATATATTATATATATTTATATATTTATATATTTTATATATTATAAATTAATAAATATGCATTATATATGTAAATATACATATTTATAATGTATTATATATTATTTATTATTTAAAATATAATATTTTTTATATATTTATAATTTTTTATTATATATTTTTATAATAAATATTATAAAAATTAAAAAACCAACTAACTAACAAACTAAACCAACGGTTAATCAAATCGGTCAATCAATTAATCGACTGGCTTCGATTCGATTTGAGTTACCGATTTTCTAAAAACCGATAATACCAATTCGGTTCAAAAAAGCACCCCATGGTTCGGAGCACCCCTATTTAATCTCATTACCGTAAATGTCTTCTATGTTCAGTTATTCAACTTGTATGCTTGTGAGAAGACTGAAGGGATAAGCCATTGAAAACGATCATAGAAAGATGTGTTCTTCCAGCGATGGGATGGGTTTGGCTTGAGGGAAGGAGAATCAAACCGCATATTATGAGATGTAAGAAATCACAACGAACTGATAGTGGTTTAAGTTTAACTAATCAGTAGAACTGTGTGCTCACTCTGTGCTATTTAAAAATTACCCTACAGGTCACAATCTGATTACTGACCGCGTAGAGGAGTCGTCCCCGACTCTCTCGTTCCGTTCCTTGTAAATACAAGCAAGCCAAAGACATTTCGGGGTTCAGTTGGAAATTCCGAATGACCACAGGGCTTGACTATTAAGGCCTGACCAAGGGAGAAGTAGAACTGCTTCTTCATTTACTGGTGACATGGTCTTGTGATGACTGTTTCATCTTTCATTTACTTTCTTTTTGTTGCATCCCAATGATGACTAATGACTTTAAACGAGACTGGTTGTTAATGATGGATTGATAATTCATACAACTGGATAATATATTTTTAGTCCAGATTAGGGGTGTCAATTGAACTGGATTTTATTCAATCCGATTTGGTCCAATATGAATCCATTACAGATAGATCAGGTTCGATCTAATCTGATGAATACTTTTGATCATTTTGCACTGATTTAATTCACTGCTTGGACCATTCAATCTGTTCAAATTGATTTTAATTTAAATTGGTTCCAATCCAAACCTGGTTTATTGACACCTCTGTTCTTAATTTTTTTTATCAATGGATTAGATATTGGTTCAATTCGAGTATCTGACCCAATCCAATATAAATTATTATGGATGTTCCAAGTCCTATCCAATCCAATTAATACTCTAGACAACTAAATCTCGACTGGTCCAGTATAATATATCTTATTGGTCCATTCAATCTGTTCAAAATGATTTTGATTTGTTTGAGGTTTTAACCAAAAACCAGTCCATTGACACTCCTAGTCTTACTCCAGAGCACCCAACTGTTGAATATATCATTCATATTTCAAAAAGAATTTTTATTGCATTGGTTCGAAATTAATTAAATATTTCCAATATAATTAATGTAGTCAAAATATGGAAACCTTTGGTTTTAGATAAAGTAGATGAAATATGAGAAGATAAATTTTGAATATATTTGTTTTATATAGGGTTATGGATTTTTTTTTGACACTTAAAAGCAAATTCATTCATAAATGCTCAGGTTACAAAGTAGAAAAAGTATCAACGATGAAAAATACAACAAAAAAAGCATGTTAAGCATGTGAGACAAAAGCAGGTAACCACGAGCACTAGGAGAAAAACGACTTGAGAAATCTCTACAACTGATGCAAATTTAAGAAATGCCAAAAAGGTCGGCTAAATGCCTTCAATTTTAATGAAGCCAACAAGTGTCTCCCTACCAAATGGGTTTGGATCAACTAGGCAAAACTCTCAAGGGATATAAAGAAAATAGTACCATGGCACCCAATCCATGGCAATATTGAAAACGTGAAAGCGAGAGAGGCCCAAGATCGCCTCTTGTTACAAAACTCTCCCTAATGCTCCACCGTCCAAACATTCAAGGAATGGGCCCCACAAAAAGCCAAAAGTGCACAAAAGAAGTTGTAACTTGTAACTATAGGGACGTAAAATGTGCAAAAAAACCACCCATCCATGTCATTGTCGAAACCGAAACAGTTGGAGCATGAATGTCACCGGAGAGAAATTGAAGATCACCAGAAAGACACTTGCTAGGAACGATAACATCGTTACAAAACAAATGGATACCCATGGCAGACCCCAAAGGCACACCACACACAAATTCGACCAAGGCCCAACAAAAATAAGAAAAAAGGCAGAGGGAAAATAAAAATTAGAATGAATAGATCCATAGATCCCAAGTCTACTCCATAGACCTAGATCAAAGCCATCGTCTTTCATATCTGTTGAAGAACCTCTCCAACAAACACCAATATGAAGAGGAATAAATGAAAACTCACATCCATAGATGTAAAAGAGAAACCCTCCCACAAAAAATGAGACCTTCACGCGGGGAAAAACCCTCCCGTGGAGATAAAAAGCCTTACACAGAAAGAGACCCTCACGCATGTAAAACTTCCACCCCCACCGGTTAGGTGAAGCAAATATATAGGGTTATGAATTATTTTTTCCCAAAAATGAACCAACTTTGTTTCATAAATTTTGCAACTCTCGGCTTAATTTTTATGTCACAAATCACAATAACTATGCAGGCTTTTATTTTCTGTATTGCAATTTTCTTCCAATTAAACTATTAATATGTGAACTACTACGTAAAATATGTTTATATGTAAAATTCGATAATATTGTCCTCCTCGTCAATAGGATAATTTCCCTGCAAAAAGTCAATGCTTTTATCAGAACTTCTCGAGAATGACGTGGTCCATTTGTATGCTTGAGTGCACTCCGCCTTTGCGCGCTTGAGCGCTAGCGCACGAAATTAAAGCCATTGCTTATTCGGCTATAATATGCAGTTTAGGGTGTAAGTCTAAGTCGAGCGGGTTCTGTCGGATTTATGGTCAATTCAGGTCTGTTTCTAAGATTTGGGCTAAGGATGAATTTGATTTTAGTGTAATTTTATTTGCACTAATACAAATAAGCAATGGGAAAATCTATTTACACGTAGAAATTATCAGATAAAGTAACAAATTAAGCACTTAGTTAATGAGAAAGTCTATGATGTCGGATAGGCTCTAAACAATCACAACCCCCATGAATTTGATGAAAACCATCCTTTCCAGTATCATGTCTTTCAGGCATTATAATCGTATCCTTAATTAATTTAAATAAAGTTGTGTTTAGAATAGTGGAAAAATATAGTTAAAATGGTTCATATATACATCGATCCATTTATGTGATTTATGTATACACATATTACAAAATATGAATTTATTTGTAGAGTTGGTTTGGATGTTGTATTTTTATTAATGAGTTCGAGTAATATAAGCTATGTTAACTCATATTTTATGACATAATAAAAGTATCGTTTCTATAGGTCAATTTATTAAGTAATAATAGATAATATTCTGGTTTTTTTATTACAGTTGGTTAATGTTATGAGAGATGCAAATCCCATGTGTATATTCAATTCAAATCAGAATATTAAAGGATTAAATGCATCTAGGTATAGGTAAATACTCAAATTCCATCAGTTTATATTCCTACCCAAGATGGTGAAATGGGTGATAAAACAACTTTCATTCTTCTTTTTTTTGGTAAAACTTTCATTCGTATAGATTGGCCAACACAAGTCAAACAAGTAGTTGAAATTCCCAGTAAAGAGATAAATGGAAACAATAAAATAATAAAGTGAAATAAATCTACTTTATACCACATTAAAACCCATGTGTGATACAATTGAATTTTATTATATTTTATTCAAACTACGAGTACAAAATAAATAGGAAGAAATAAAAGACACATTCCCCTCTATCACCTAGTTTAATTGGATATGATATGAGATTTACCCATGAACAAGAGGATTACAAGATGTAATCCTTCATTACTATATATATTGTCTTCCATGTTCTTCTCGGTCTTGGGATTACGGGATGTAATCTCTTCTTATTTTTCTCTTGACTATGTATAGTCTATGGCTCTAGGGCCAGCTCCACAAACTCCAGTATATTATACACCCCACAAAAGGAATAAAAGAATAGAAAAATACGTAGAAAAAAAAAAGACACTATAGAGGATCTAGGCCCTGAAATGAACGAGACTCGGATCTATGTCTTTTGGCACCTTACGTGGGGCAGGGAACTTGGGTAGCGAACTTGCTATCTGCTTAGCAGCCTCTAAGTATGATGCATACTTATTAACCAACCCAGAAGCCTTCCTATTGTTCAACGACAATTTGCTGAAGTCGAGCTCACGCTCCTCCCCTGTTTGAATATCCATGAATGCTTTCTTTTTGAAGGTCCAGTTGCCAGTTTTCCAATTGAAATGATAGAGCGGAAGGAAGCGTTGGCCATATAAAGCTATGAATTCCATGGCAGCTAAGATGAACTCAAACTCTTCCATGGACATGTAGTAGGGGAAGCTCACTCTCGTCCATCCAGGTTTTACTCCAGCATAGCCCTGCAAAATAATGACAAAGACAGCAAGTTTAATCTCCTTTGTGAAATACTTTAGCTGAGATAAATATATGTGGGCAGAAGTAGGCTCATTAGGACTGTAATTCTTAACTGTATAGTAGCATTTATAAGCAAATTACCTTCTGGATGGCAGATCGGAAGGCAAGCGAGAGAGACTCCTTGACATCAAGCAAAAGGTGACCGTAAGGGCCGGCACAAGAACACCCACCTCTAGCCTGTATGCCAAAGAGATCGTTGAGTAGCTTAGCCACGAAAGGCCCATGTAGAGGCTTATCTTTCCTGTTCCCCGACTCCCTCCACATATTAAGTCCTCTGTCTCTGATCCTTCTGCCCTCTTCACCCTCGTCTGACGGAGAATTTGAAGTGGTTAAAATAAGGAAAGAGATGATTGATAGTCTCTTGGCTTTTGTATTTCCTAAAACCCATATGTTTGGATTTGGGAGAAGCCTTCTGAGGGCTGCATTTACATATACATGTTCCTGTTCTTCAATCACAGTGTAACCAATATACTCCTTCACCCAGAAAGCTAGGGCTGCTCGGATCTTTTGGATGATGGGTGGGGTCCCGGCGTCTTCTCTCTCTTCTATGTCCTCGTAATATAAGGTATCCTACACATCATGTTCGTATATTATCTAAGCCATGTTCGTATATTACCAAATGAAACCAAATTATATACAAGGAACTGACTGGGTGCGGTGTGATCAAGTAATTCCACTTACCCTTTCAGAGAAGCCATTGACAAAGCTGACAGTCCCTCCTCCGCAAGTTGATGGGGGAGAAAATCTCAACTGATACAAGGCCGTGCTCATCAGGAGAAGACCAGGAGTTCCAGGCCCACCAAGGAACTTATGTGGGCTAAGAAAGAGAGCATCATAGCCATCCAGCTCTCCTGATCGCATCTCGATCTCCACATATGGACCGCTGCACCAATTTATATATATGAACATCAATACTAAAAGTCTAAGAACAAGGTGACAAATGGGGACCCAACAAATGAGCACAAACACATACCTAGCAGCGAAGTCAAAGCATGCAAAGGCACCATGTTGGTGAAGGAGCCGAGCAATGGCACGAGTGTCTGAGTACACGCCGGTGACATTACTACAAGCTGAGAATGAACCCAACATAGGACGATTGGAGGATTTATAAGTCTCAAGTAGATGTTTCAGAGCTTCCATATCTAGCAACCCTTCTTCATTAATCCCAATCTCGATCACCTCCGCTAAGCTCTGGCGCCATGATAAGACATTGGAGTGGTGCTCGAATGGGCCAACGAATACCACCCATCTCTCCTCATTCTTCAGGATCTTCAGCATTCTCTCTCTCATGATTGACGGAACTGCAATTCCCATCACCTCTTGGAGACGCTTGATTGCGGCTGTGGTGCCAGAGCCACAGAAGATGAGTGCATCATCAGTTCGGCCTCCCAAGCAACTCTTGATATATTGCATTGCCTCATGTACCAACTTGGTTGTTTTGTATCCCACGAAACTGTCACTTGTGTGAGTATTTCCTGCACATATATATAATTGATGAATACGTATTAGTCTTGCAAGCAACAAAACATTAATTATAACAAAGTAAACAAAAAAATAAATAAAACAGTTGCATTCCAATTTGCGAAGATCAACAATACTAGGAAGCAAATTAAAAGGAGAAAAGAGAGACAAAAATGAAGCAAAAAACATACCGTAGAAAGGAAGAACATCATTCATGATGTAATCTTCAATGTAGAGAAGACCCCTCCCAGAAGCAGTGTGGTCAGCATAGGTAAGGAGACGTTTTCCGTATGGGGTGTCGAATTCCGCATCACCTCCTACCAACTGTGAGCGCAACCATGCGAATTTTGCCTGAGCGGGGGCATTTCTATCCACGCCCATCTGAAGCATCTTAATGGGCTGCGTTTGGCTGACAGCATCATCGGTGTCTGATGCATATCTTCGAACAGATGGATTTCTTACCAGGGCTTGAAACATTTTCCTGGCATAATTGTCACCGAGGGGTCCAACTGTTATTGGCACACCATAGACGCTCTCAGTCGTCGAAACTTCTTCAATCTCCATGCTTGCAGAAGGATGGAAGAATGAAGAAACTTTTGAAGGGCGGCAACAAAAGTCAAGTCGTGCATCGCTATTTGATTATCCTTTCAGACATTTGACCGAACAGATGGTAATTATATAAAATTGTGCTCAGCTGTGCAAAGTTGACAATGACTGGGCATTCCCTGATTAACCATTATAGAATGGAATCAAAACCAGGCTAAGGGAGCCACCAGAATGACCAAGAGCTTGACCAATATGAAGCCTGACCCCGTTGAACTTAAAGCACTTAATTCATAGGTGACTTGGTCGTATGGTTTGTTTATTGTATGATTTTTTTACCTTTGCTTTATTGCACAAAAATAATTGCCACATCAGCAAAATATGAAAAACGTTGCCACGTATATTGGCGAACGAACACCACCTTAGTTTTATACAACGACCGACGACTTGATCAATCCAGGGTTCTTCTTTTCCTTTTTTTTTTTTTCATTCAATAGATTTCTTTGACATGGTTTTGTCCATTAACTGAATGCATATAATCTGGATGAGCAAGGATTTACCATTTTAATTAGTACTCTCTCCAGTCTCTCCCCCCACTACTATGTTAACCAGTTGGTTCTTAGTATGGTAGATGTTTACAATTAACGAAAAATTATTGTATTTTTAATTAAAACAAAAATGTAATAAAAGTCACTCAATCCTGTTGACTTTAGTTCAAAATCAAGTTTGGATTGGATTCCATCCGAATCAAAATCAATTTTAACGGGTTTGATGGTGTAATAAGACTATTGAATTGGACTGGTCCAGATTTAATGGTCCAAACTCTAAAGTACTCATTGGAGGATTGGATTGGACCTGATCCATCTATAATAGATTTATACTGAATTGCCAGATTGAACTAATATAACAGAAGATAAAGCATATGGATGTCCGCCCTCTATTCATCGCGCATTGCAGCCACACATCGCCATCTTGAATTGTGAGATGTGTGGCTGTAATTTACGGTAAGTAAAGTGTCGATATATTGAAAAAGTGAATAGAAAAACCTGGGTTCTTGGGTTGGACCCATTCTAGATTAAAAAAAATTGAAAAGATTGAATGGTCCAGATATTAAATTGAATTTTTTCAGAATAATTTAAATTATTCATCGCATTGGATTGGACAGTCCATTTGTAATAAAATCATATTGGACCGGGTTGGATTGGGCCAATATTCTGCCCATTGATAACCCTACCTACGTGTCATTGCCCCCTAAGTAAAGTGGCTGTTAGAGCTGTTATGGATCAGGTTTGGTTTGGGATAGTGTATACCAATTCCATTCCTATTTTTAAACGGGACCATACCCAGAACCAATTAGATAGAATGATTGCGAATGATAATAGACACCTATAATTGCGAATGATAATAACAATTTAGAACATTATTTTGATAATAAAAACTTAATAATATTGAAAGTAAAATASTAAGTTGTTTATATGTTAATAAGATGTGTTTTTAACCATAAGCATCTTGTATCCTATTTATGAAATTTATTATTGACATAAAATATAATAAAAATTACAAATCTTTATTTATTATTAATTATATAATTATTTTGGGACTGAATTATTTGGATAAAAAGAACCAGTCCAGATCCAATTATTAATCCGATTACTAATCGGAACAAAACCATATAGAATCAGATCTGACATAATAAGTTTGACCTGTCTGTAATTTATCCAAAAAAGAATTATTTTAATGCCATGCATTCACTGGCCCCAGAACTTTGTTTTGTGATAGAGACTCTTTAAACTTTTGGCTTCCAACACTTTGACCCCACCATTAGCAGAGTTCAGTCAACTCACGATTCAGATATGCTGTGGGGCCGGCGCCCATGGGACACGGTTCTGTGGGGCGCCAATGTGATCTCCCATTAGCATTGTTTCACTTAATATAAACGAGAATCAACATATAAAGAATACTATGTTTATATACAGGGGTATCATGACTGGGATGGATCAGCCAAAACCCAATTAGACTTGGGTCAAAGAATCAAAACCCAAACCTGACCCTAAAGCTTAATATGCTTGACCCTAACCCAACCATATAAGATGGGGTCAAGCAGGGTTTAATGTTTAACCTAACCCATTGGCATCTATCCTTAGGCCCACATTCTTCTGTGCTCATCGCGGCAATGACCTAAATTCACCAATCAATGGTTCCCACCTTGAAGATTAAATGGGATGAAAGTCACTTAAAAGATAAAAGTCAATGATGGTTCCCTCTCCCCTCCCCACACTTATCTATTTAGAAGATGGGTATCATTTATTCAGGAAAAAAATTTTGCTGAAACCCTCATAAATCTAAAAATCCATTAAATGAAGAGAGAGGCCCTTGGCGACTTCTTTTTGGATGAATCTAGAGACGTTGTAATTGCACTAAGGGCCTCTTTTGTTAAGACTCCAATAGATGAACACAACATCAGATTCTTTACCACAAGCGGGAATACAAAGACTGCACTTATGTTGCAGTATATCTCTTCGAGTTTTTTGTTGTGCTTTTCGCTTGCACTTTCAGTGTATTATTCTTTGTACTCCCCTTTTTGAGTAAATATAATTCGTTGTTATCTCCAAGAAAAATGGAGATTGGAGAATAGATTTCTTTAATAACATTCCCAACATGTTAATAGGATGGAATTAGAGGTGCAACTTGCTGGCCCAAGTTAACATTTTACACTTCTTTGGGCTCAGGCCTGTGTCAAGTTCATTTAAATTTTGACAAAAGCCCATTTTACCCGCCCATGTTGTAACCCTAGATAGAACTATTAAAAATAATTCAAACTATTCAGTTTTTAAGTTTTTGTGTATAAAGCATGCATCAAAATCACTTTCACTAGCGAATTCTTAACATGGTAAGACATACTATTGCAGTTTTAATGTGATTGCTTGAAATTTTGATTTAACCTGCAGTAAATATTTGAAATGCACCATAATTCGATGATAGTAAATTCTCTTAAGTTAATTATTATAATTATTCAAGAAATAAAAAAAAAGTCTTGTGAATGGCTATAGAATATAACTATTAAATGCTGTAATTAATAATTGTATATCTAATTTCTATATTGGAAAGTGATGAATCAATTTTTCGTTAAGTATCGACTTTTTTGCTAAATACCTCGTCATTTGGTCTGCTTCTAAGCAGCCGATGGCTCAGGCCGAAGTGAACTTTGGCTTCTGAGCTGAGTCGAGCTGGGCAGGCTAGGTGGCGAGCTAACTATAGTGTCGAACTGCCTATAAGGTTCCGAGCTGACTAGGTGGCAAGCTGCTTGTGAGGTGCCGAGCTACCTGTGAGGTGTCGAGCTGACCAGGTGCCAAGCTGCCTGGGAGGTGCTGGGCTGCCTGGGAGGTGCTGGGCTGCCTGTGAGGTGCCGGGTTGACCAGGTGCCGAGCTTAATTGATGCGCTTTGTGGCTCTTTACCGCCCCCGAGATTTCCGAGAGGTCGTGTCTAACTGGTTCGAGATTCCTGGAGGTAACCGCCATGCACGTTGACCACCCTCCAAATCGTTCGGCACGTGGGCCAACTTCCAATGATCGTGGGAGTGTTTGGATATGTATGCCGAATTCGTCGGCGAGCACGTCTTGCAAGTCGCCAAGTCGGCGCATGTGCCAGACCACCAGATCGCGCCTATGCCAGACCGCCAGGCTAGACACCATTAACTTGGCAAGTTGTTGCCCAAGTGCTTCCAGGTGTCAGCTAATTGTTCTGAGGTGTCATGTGTCACAATGTCATTGGAGAGCAAAATCCGCCCTCATCAGAAACCATTAGTATATGCCAAATATTGTTCAAATGTAAATTAAGCTAAACCTAGTTTCTGCTAAAGCTAAAATTGCAGAACATTTTTCTTCTATACATCTTCACTTCCTCTCCAAAACATTTAACATGTTATCCTTTGTTTAATTTTTTGCTCAAAAGAAAATAATAATAATAATAAAAATAATAATAATAATAATAATAATAATAATAATAATAATAATAATAATAACAATAATAATAATTATATACTCATGCTCAACAAAATTATTAATTTCTTTCAAACTCATTTTGCAACTTTGATTTCATAATATTAGTACTTAAAACAGTGCCAAAAAAATAATAAAATTATAGAATTTAGTTGCAGCAATGATGAATCTCTTGGTCAATTGTCTACGTACCACCTCTTCRAGTGCTAAGTGCTAACAATATTTTTTCTTTTCCTTCCCATATGATTCATGAGTACTCATTGTTGAATTGGCGCCTTGATCATCAGAAATGTCCACACTATCTATCAATCTAGGGATATGGTTCCTATCATGCCACGCCCAATTGCTTATATACAACCTCATCTCTATCCACTAGAATCATATGTTAGATAGTTGTATGCCCTTAGCTCCAATCAGATTGATGTACATATGCATTTATTGTAAATGAATAAAAATACATAATTAATTCATGTTATATTTGGCGTATTTCTGTGTAATTACCCTAAAACTAAACACTTATGAGACACGTGTTATTTTAGAATGTTCTCAGCTATTGGATAGACTTGGGGAAGTTTATCCTGCCAAAGCTTGTCTCAACTATCAGGGTTAAATCCGATGCACATGTAATGTGTATTTGTTTGAAGCAATAAGCTCATACCATTTTCCAGTCATACCCTGAACCTTGGAGACTAATGGGCAAAATTGAAAAGTTACACATAACCCCTAGACTCGATTATGGTATTTCACTGAGTGTTGGATTGGACTGTCTTTGATATACTAATCAGTAAGATCCTTTGGGGGTCAAAACCTAGGTATGTTGAGGTAGTTTGAGAATTCACTCGATTGGGTAATCATGGAGACAAGATTAGCCCAAGTGTCGGACAAAGTGAATGATCGAAATTGCACTCTCTCTGATAGAAACCAAAGCTGCCAGCAATCGGTTTTAAACTTATTTGAGATTCGTTTTGAATATATATATATATATATATATATATTATGATTTAAGAAAAATGTTTTAATTCCTGGGATCCATCCGAGTAGAAAGTGCAACACTGCACCTTGCAGCCAGAGGGGGAGG